TATATTATTAAGTTATTTTTAAACAATATATCAAATGTTTGTGGAAGTACATGCTTACATTAGCATGTACTTTGATTTATGGTATAAGAAAAGATAATAATAGGTATATGTGCTTAGGAGAAATAAAATTAAAATGATATTACAAGAAATTTATATTAACAATAGACATATTCAAATTATAAGGATTTTGTTACAAACTTTTTCGAGATATTTCTATTCAATTTATATTATTCCTCCTTAGGTTACAAACATTTATTGTGTTAAAATTATTTATTGATACTTTATTATAATAAATAATATTGTAGTTAAAAATAATATGCGTGCAAGTAAATACATTATAGAAAAATTTGTTATAACTATTGTAAATAACTACTAATATCTTCAACTTTCCATTTAATCTAAGAATTAAAGATATTTTCTCTGTGTATATAAAGTATATATAAAAGAAGAATAAATGTAAAATCAACATTCAACGAAGCACTTGATGATATTTCGACATGTGACAGCGAGCCGCTAAGGCAAAAATGTATTAGTAACCGGACATACAAACTATTAACATTAAAATTTCATTGCCATGAGCTATAGCCAACGATTCACTACGCAACAATCAAGGTATTAATTTCACAAACAGATAGTAAAAATATTTTGTAATATACCATTGGTGAATATTAAAGGAAACTATATTAAAGGAAACTATATTAAAAGAAATTAATTATGTGGAAATATAGAAGGCAAATAATACATTTTACTGAGGACAATTCAAAGAATTTATTTTTCCATATATCTGTCTATCTTTTCTATCTCATCGTCTTCATAAAAATATTTATAGACAGTTATACATTTGTCTAATAAAACATTACCTCGAAACAATCTCGTGTCTTATTTCATGAAAATATTATTTCTCAAGAATGTCGCATTACTAGTATTGTAATAACAGAAGTATGGATACATGTGTGTGGACGAGTAGAAATATCAGAATTAGAAAATAGTCGAGAGAGATTTACGGTAGAGATTTATACATTGTAGTTTGAGGAGATAAAAAACGAAGATTTAATCAAATAATATTCTCAAGAATATACTTGAGTAGTTCATGTAAATTTTAATAATGTGATAAACAGCTAAAATAAATGCAAGTAATATAAATTAATTAGAAAATCTTTGTAAGTGCATATAAAAATAAGATTTTATAAAATTAATTTCAAAGAATTTCTTAACTTCTTTAAATTAGCATATTAGAATCATTTTTAATATTTTCTTCTTCTATCCTAAAAAAAAAAGAAATATTTCAATCAATATTACGATAAACAATAACGTAAATGTTAACTGCAAATTGTATAGGCTAATCTACATTAAAAAGAAGCACAAATGCTGAAATTTTCGCTCATGCTCTGCGCATTCGCTGGATGCTGGCAACCGATTATATGGACATCGCTGTTTAAACATATAATTTATAAGACTTATGCAATATTTCTGATCTTCTCATTATATTTATTTTTGATTTCTCAATTTATAAATATTACATTAAACGTCGGCAATTCTAATGAATTTACCGATGCTTTATACATGATGTTGACGATATTCGTAGCAGGCTACAAACAGGTTTATATGTGGATAGATCGTAAGAATTTTATAATAATAATAAATATTCTTAATGAAAAACCTTTTGCACCATATGAAACACATGAAGTAATGATTCAAGAAAAATTTGAGAAACTGATACAGTAAGTGTCATAAAATTGTATAATTAAATGCATCAGTTATTCCTCAATAAATTTCGAGATAGCTTGCCTTGCTTTTTGGATATTTTATAATAATTATAGCATTAGTAATTATAGCGTATCTATTTATATTACATAATAATTTGATACAGATGATATAAATTATGTTTCATTTCATTAAATTTTTTATAGAATTATGAATATTTTTACATTTGTAAGTATCTATAGATAAAAAGTATTATAAGTGATATGTACTACAGGAAATATAAAAAAAACGAGTTAATCTCTTGGAAATTGCTGTAATAAATTTTATAATTATTTTATAGAAACAATATGCGAAGGTATTTAATCATCGTCTTGATGTCAATCGCATCGATATTAACGATGTCTGTCTCCACGAACTTTAAGAAAAGAAACTTGACATATAAGGCATGGGTACCGTTTGACTACTCATCTCCTGCTATTTATTTTGTTGTATATATTCACCAATTAATAGCTATGTCAACTTCTGGTATAGTAAATGTTGCTTGCGACAGCTTACTTTGTGGATTCTTACTGCACATCTGTTGTCAATTTGAAATTTTGGGGTATCGACTGACAAAACTTACGCAAAATAGCCTGTGCGACTGTGTTCGTCATCACAACCGTATCTTTGAGTTAGTTTATTTAAACAGTTCACATTTAAGACAAAAGTTTTTTTAATTTTTCTTCTAATTAAAAAACTTGAATTGCACACAAAATAAAGATATGTTTTAAACAATTATTATTTATTTCTCAAATAGATAAATAACTGGAACAATAAATAAATAAAGAAGACTTTTTACTACAACTTTTTTATAATAATTAGAAAGATAAATAATTTTTTATTTATAAAAATCTATAGACTTTTTGGACGAAAATAAAATAAAGAAATATAAATATAGCTAATAAAATATTGAATTCTTTAACAAATTTCAAGTGAAATTTGATTAAAAAAGAGAAATTTAAAAAATATTTTTATAGAGATTAAATAAAATAGTTATTAAATAAAATAGTTTATAAAATAGTTTATAAAATTTTCATTAAAGGTAGATAAATTTTGAGATAAAAAAGAAGATAGAAAAATAAAA